TGCTAAAATAATGTATGTTGCGGGTAGGTATCTATTGACTATTATAGAGTAATTTTTTTCGATATGTAGGTATAGGAAGTAAACAGGATCTCAATTTTCAAGTTATATGATGAAGCATATTTTTACTTTCAACAATCTTTTAAAATTATCTAGACTATAGAGGACACCACGATTAGAGGATAACTTCTTCAAAGGAGTACTTCTTCAAAAAGTATTTTTTCATTTTATTAAATAATTTATGAAAATTCTTAATGTGGTAGTAATTCTTATGTATCTGCAATTTGTTTTATTATTTCAAAATAATAGTAGTTTAGGTAATTATAATTTAATTTAATTGGTTGCATTTTACAATTTTCAATTTTTCACCTTCATTGGTCGCCATTTACGTGTTATCAAAGTTATAAATGCCTAATTTTCAATCGACTTTTTTATTACCTGGTATTGCCAAACCGAGCTTACATTTACACATTTACATAATCTGGATAAAGAGAATAAAAGATTAACAATTTCCGCCACAAGATACATAATGTGTCTATGTATCCAAGTATGTTAAGCTGCCAACAAGTAACTTTTAGTTACTACCTATTGTAGTTTGTTATCAATTCCTTCCTTTTTACTTTTATTTTTAATTACACTGAACACGTTTTATTACAATGTTACATACGTGAATGAGAATTCAACCTCAACGATAACATTTTTTTATTATTGTTATGATATTATTGCAAGGCCATTTTCATAATTAATCAATTAAATGTATGATATTTAGAATGTATTATGTAACACATCTTACTTAAACGTTGAAATACAATTGTTAGTATAGGAAATAATACTGAAATAGCATATACTATTAAAATCAAATCCTTATTAGTTATTAGCAATTACTACATAATTTGTATACCAATATATTTTTAATATTTAGCCGTTTAGGTAAACACTAAACACAAGTAAAATATATTTATGAGAATAGTTTTAGTAAGAAGTTGAAAGCGAATTAAAGATTTACACATGAAATTTCTTTCAAAAAAAAATTTGAGTAAGTAAATTATTGTAATATGTGCTTACTAGTTACTTATAGGCAGTAAGGTATAGTACCTGCTATCTATAGTATACTGTAATTCTGTTCACCTACTTTTCTATTATAATAACATAAATTACAATTAGGTACCTATAACTACTAAGTGCTTTAAAGCTATAAAGTTTTTTTTTTAATCACAACAATTGACCACAACAAAGAAATATATAATACTATATTCTATGATCGTTGTATTCATTGTTCATTGATCATTATGTATAAACATTATACACCCTGTTTATGTGTTTTCTGTGCAAAGATTGAAAAAGATATCGTGTTTGATGTTATTAATTAATAGATCAAAAACCTATTTTGCATTTTGGTAATACGAGATTTTTAAGGTACCTAATTTACATAAATGATAATGATATTATGTAGGTACCTAACAATTTTTTATTAATATCTTAATAAAACTATTTTAAATAACTTGTATAAATATTATGGAAGAAACAAATTTATCAAACTAGTTTAATAAATTGGATAAATAAAAAAAATGATTTAAGTCGTTATTTACTTTACGAACAATAGAATAATAGATGCTTAGTGCTTACCTAATGAAAAACTATTATAAGATAGGTTTAGATAATATTGATTCATCAATAAATTGTTTAATAATATATATATATATATATATATATAGATATATATATATATATATATATATATATATATATATGTATATATAATATATATATGTATATATAATATATATATATGTATATATATATACCTATATAATAATATAATATAATATAATATAGCAACATAAATCACTAATTTTAATTAGTAGTTATTACATATACAGTAGTTATTAGTTGTGCACTATGCACCTAGTGGCTATAGAACCTATTATTTATCTTAAAAAAAAGAAATTATTACATTTTAATTACTACGATCTGAATTTATATACCTACTCGTACCTATACCATATCCATAAGGTGAGGCAGAAATAGTTAAATTATTATTGAAGCATTTATATTTATTTTTATATAGGTACGTATAACAATAATAATATTTTATTTTATTTTTCTTATTATTCTTATGGTTTTACGTTTTTAAATATCTTTGAAAATATTGATACTCATTAACTCATATATAGTTATACCTATGTATTATGCATATATATATATTTATATATATATTATATATATATATATTAAACACTAATAAGTAGATATGTATAGTATATATTTGTACATTACCTTTAAATCTACAACGTCTCACAATATATACCTATACATGTATATATTATATAAAATACGATGTTATTAATATTAAATATACCTATATAAAAAAAAAAATCGATCGTGTCATTTTTATAAATTACTAGCTGATGCCACGTAAAAAATGGCAACTCTTAAAATATTATTATTATTCAACTCCTTTTGGGTGTAACTCGCTGCAGTAAGACAGTAAGTGCAACTCAGCCACCCTGATATTCAATTCGATTACGTGTCTACGTCGGATCGCGGACAAAATACAACTCAGTCTCCTATAGGTAGACAATGTTCAAAATTCGATTTGATACAAGCTATTGTACCTAATCTGCCCGATTAATAAATGGAAACCAATAATAAATAAATACTAAATTCTACTAATTATTTGTCTTACAATACCGATAACAACCATTTATAAACAAAACTGTCTATCTTAGATCTAAAAACCCCTGTTTGAGCTCCTCCCCAGGTTGGACTTGGACCTACCTGGTCCAATAATTGTGAATCTAAATCATCCTGGGAACCACTCAAACACACAAAAAATGTCATCATAATCGGTCCACTTGTTTAGGAATGCATAAAGGACACACGGACTGCAAACATTCATTTTAGATTCTGAGCGGAGCGATTAATGTATTGACTTCTATATATTTTATTATACTAATATATTATAAAGATGTAAGTGCATTTTTTGTGTAAAGTTAACTCGATAACTACTATCGTTCAATTTTGATTAGAATAAGTATTCCAGTTTTCTGTGTATTAATATATATTATATTATTATTATGCATAAAAGCATAAAAGCATAATATATCTGTCGACGACGCTGTCGGAACTGCTTAAGAGGACGCTACCACCTATACATTTGTTGTCTCCGTCTTACACACGCACGACATAGCAAATTTTCGTTCACTAGTTTCAATAGTGTGCTGTTAGTTTTCATACTAGAGTGAATTGACCTATTATAAAACTTTTAGGTTAAGCACAGTTAATGTATTAATATCTAAAAAATTGATAATAGGTCAAATCACTATAATATCAAAACTATAACAGCACACTATTGAAACTAGTGAATGAAAATTTTCTATGTCGTACGTATGTAAGACACTAAGACGGATAATGAATGGTTAGCATCCTCTTAAGCATTACATCGGCACAGTTAAGTTTACCTATATAGATAAGTATATGTGTCATCTAAGATAACCAATAGTTAAATATCACAACCATACTATTAATTCTTTATAATCGTGCACAATAGTTATCTATAGATGAGTTATTTTTCATGTAGATAAAGTCTCAACACTGAATGGCCTCCAATGAGCAAGGTTGACAATGACTATGATTCTAAGTGACAAAACCATATTCTAAAATAGGTATTAAAATTTAAAACATACTATACAAAATTCTGGGCCACAAGAGAATGCAATCTGCACTCGCATCCAAATGACTTCTCTCCGTCGTCACGAGACCAAATTTCCCCCTCCATGTGGCCACTGGTCCAGTGGTCCATGGTACACACCTGCAGCCAAAACGGCGAGCTCCGACGGGTGGCGATCTGACCGGTAAAATGGTGGGGATGAGCGAAAATATACGAGTTTTGGTCCGCCGCCGGATGCCTTCTACCAGAGTAGGTAGGTATAGAGAAAAATATAAAATTATCATGCAATTTGGAGGAAACCAAAACTACGGAAAGCTTTATTATAATATAATATAATATTACCATTATGATTTAAGGCATTATTGTAGTAAGCATATTGGCATTATACAATCGCAAAAAATCTAAAATAAATTATGCGCACCAGTCATAAAATGTTGACTTCTTCTGAACTTATATAAAAGATAATGATTATATCAGCAATCAGCGATGATAGTACCCTTACGGGTACACAATTATTTACGACCTACCTATATAATTTATATATATATTTAATAGTTCATAATACTTTGTATTTACAATTAATAACATTTTAAACTCGTTTTAAATATATTATTATGTTTAATTATTCCTAATTATGTTCATTGTTAACTTTAAATATTATAATGATTATTAATATTAATAATTAAATATTGTTATGTAATCATTATTTTTATTATCAATATTCATAACTTATAAGACGTAGTTATAGGTTAACTTATAACTTATAATAATTATGACCACTTATTATTATTACTTTATTTGTGTTAAGTTTAATTCAGTCCTCTTGCTCAGTGCTCTAAAAGCTTTCACAGTATTATAGGCGTACCTATAGGTGTTGGGCGTAGATGAGAACGACCCATAAATTATAATTCATGAAATTATACCTACCTACGCATCTATTATCAATTTTATTTTAGATTCTAAACGGAATTATGTGTTTTTTTTGTGTCAGTTATCACTTATCACCTTTTGGAACAGTAAAAATGCTTGGATTTTCAACTTCAATATCTTCTCTGGTAGGAAAGTGAATCGAGTTGGTATACTTTTGGTACCTACTAGTACTTTTTAAGTAATTTGTAGCTATATATATTACCTGTATTATATTATATTGTATTATGGTATAAATAGATACCTACTACAGTACCACCTATACTACTATAATAGGTATATTGTATTATGTGTGAACAAAATTTAAGTGTACCTACAATCCTACAAATTGTAGTTTATTAACAAAATATATTATAATTTCAGATATTTCTCTGACTCTTTCAAATAGAATCTAACATCAAATTACATGGAGTCAAATGAAAAAACCAACTTAATAACTAGTCATGTGTACACAAATTACTCCAGTAAACCACACCATTTGCATTACACAAGTACAATAAGCCGAGTGGTTAGTATAATACAATTATGGATTAAATTATTTTTTTATTAAATAAAAAAATAAACAAACACCTACCCCTCACCCATTATTTATTTAATTATTAAATTCCTATAAACTTAGTACTATAAACTTTAAATTTTTATTCACATTAAATATAACTAAATACAGTTAATCATTATTAAAGGTACCAATATTAGTTGTTATTAGTACCTATCTTCAATATGATTGATTTGATAAACCTATTATATTTATATATGTTTTGCGATTTTAATTTATAACTCGGTACCAAATTTATCACATCGGGTAAAAAACCTATTTATTTTGAAATTAACTATATAGTAGGTAGTTATATTCAGTTTATACTCACTATGCCACTAGTTATATATTATAATGTAATACCATTAATAATTTATATTAGGGATACGGGGTGGCCGAGCGGACCAAGGCGTCGGTTGTGACGCGCACCGACGCCGGTTCGATCCCGGCTACGGGATGCATTTTTCTTCTGGCCGTCACGATGTCCGGAGAGAAAGGCCTCCGTCCCCCACCCGGGCATGGCAGATACCTATGGGTGCCCACTTAAAAGTTCTGCCAAACACTCAAGTGTAAAAACTCACCGTTCCAAACCCCCTACCACTACCACAATACAACCCTACATACAGCTGATGCCGGGCTTAAGGATCAATAAAAAAAAATATAAACATATATATTATTTAATTTAGTAAAGTATTTTTATTGATTGATAATTTATTATTTTTTTTCAGTTATGGCTGGCATTAGTGGTAACAATGCCATGTTTGGCGCCGGGCATGAGTTTCGGATATTCTGCCATTGTTTTAGATCAATTGCCATTCTCAGTTGATCAACAATCGTGGTTTGGTATTTATTTTAACTTTTTTTTAATAATTTTACTGTATGGTGTATCCCATATAACAATAAGCTCAAAAATGACCAATGACCAATCGGTATGATTGCTGTATAACTCACGATTTTGTTTGTTTTCGGTGCAGCTAGTTTACCGTCCACGATGATGCCTATCGGTTGCCTTTTGAGCGGGCCGTTGATCGACAAACTCGGCCGGAAAACCGCGCTGATGGTGACCAACCTGCCGTCTTGCCTTGGCTGGTTGATGTTGTCCATGCGACCTGTCAACCTGTACGTACTGTACGCGGGCCAACTGCTAGTGGGCATGTCAGTGGGCCTGTCTACGACCCCGGCCACGGTGTACGCGGCCGAGTGCATCACGGTCAACTATACCGGACTGCGCGGGTGCTTCACGATAATGACGTCCATCATGCTCAACTTCGGCATGTTCCTCACGTACCTGCTGGGCACCCTAATGCCCGCATACGTGGTCGCTTACGTGGCGGCTTTCGTGTCGTTCGCCGCGTTCATATTCATCGGCTTGCTCATTCCTGAGAGCCCACCGTGGCTGTTCGGACAGGGCCGCCGCGGTGACGCAGAGTTCTCTCAGCGGGTGTTGCGCATTGCCCAGCCAATACTACAAACGCGTCGGGCCATGTCACTAGACGGAGACGCTGCCGCCGCCGTGCGCATCCGGTCCCGGATCGTGGACAGGCTGGCCGAGCCGGACGTCTACAAGCCGATGGCGATAATGACGACGTTCCTGTTCTTTCAGCAAGCTTGTGGTTCGTTCGTACTGACCGCGTACATGATCCAACTGCTCGGCGGCCTCGGCGTGACCGTCAACAACTACGTGGTGACGCTGCTTGCGGGGTTCACCAACCTGGCAGCCATGGTCGTGCTGTCCGTGCTCCTCACTCGGTCCGGTTTCAAACAGCTATCGTACGTGTCGTGCGCCGGCTACGCAGCTTCCATGGTGCTGCTGGCCGTGTTCCTGCAATACTACGATGGTGGCAACACGCTCGTCACCAACGTGGTGGTCATCAGTTGTGTGCTGCTCAACATGGCCATGAATGGGCTGGGGCTGCGGCCCATTCCGTACGCCATGCTTGGCGAAGTGTTCCCCACCGACGTGGCAGGTGTGGCTGGTTCGATTGTCGCGTGCATGTCGTCCGTGTTCAACTTCGTCGCCATTAAAACGTACCCGTACTTGCGCATATCCTTGGGCCCGGGCGTGTTCGCGGTGTACGGGGCGCTGGCGTTGCTTACGCTCGTGTTCGTTGCGGTGATCGTACCGGACACCCGGGGCAAGACCATCAAGCAGATCAGCGATGAATTCCTGCGGAAGAAGTCGGTCAGCGGTTGTGGCGACGGCAGTTATCGTAAGGGGAGCTGTAGCATAGCGGACGAGGTCATCTGAACGGTGCACGATGGGTGTACCTATATTATAATATTTTGATTTTCGAGGATCTCATTTTTCATTATATCGTTATAAATATAATATTATGTGATTTCTTTTTTTTCTTTTTTACGTTCGTGACAATTAATATTGAATATAAATTATAATATAATACCTAAGTAATACATATTAATATGCGTTTGTTCATCTATATATCGTATCTATATCGTGTTACAGTAGGTACCTACTCGTTTTACGAAATGGACAACTTTTGCATACATTTCACGAAATGGAGCTGCGGTCTTTCAACTTCATGTACTTAATTAGTAATTACTCAATATGGATTATATTTCGTGAAATGGATACCTACATAAACCTTCGTCAACGGAACTTATTCTGTCATAAAGCAAAAATTAAAAAACTTTAATTTTAGATTCTGAGCGGAGCGATGAATGTACTGATTTCACAGTGATGTGTTTATCGTCACCGTTTGGGGTAGTAACACCTCTTCAATTATCTTCAACTGTATCGCTTGTTCGATAGGAAATAGTGAATCTAGTTGGTGCATTCGGCAGGTTTCTCAATAATGAGATTTAAATAATTTTTATTTAAATTTAAAATTTTGACAAATTACGTAAAATTCAAGAAAATGTGCAAAAGATTTTGAGTTTGAAGTTTATGAAAATTTTTCTTTTTAAATCTTAAGATTCGAAAATTGAATTTAAGATTTGTCTACATATCTAAGTTTTTCTACCTTTATTAAAAAAAAATGTCTACCTGAAAGTCAAATACTTAAATTACATTTTTATGAACGTTTAAAGTTCAAATTTTTACAAGATTGGATAGATTCACTCGATTTCTGATGTAGCGATTTTGTTGTTTTGCTGTAATTCAAAAACGTATAACCGTGGATACTATAAATTTACACCATATGTTTAGTCTATCAATACTTATACTTGATAAAATGTTCAAAATGTTTTGAACCTGTTTACTGACATTTTCAATTTTAGGTGATGGGGACACGTACGTACACCGGACACATACGTAAAAATACTTCAATCTTTAACTTTGATAACGATTTATGGTCACAAATTAAATCTAACTCGACCAATTGGTACATCATCAGGAAATAAAATTAGAAAATGACCAGTACCTATACTTCTCAGTTATCAATGTGTTCCGAAAAACCTAAAAAAGCAACAGTACGGAAAAATAAAAATATTCAACTACGCAATACAGTTGAGTCTCGGTTTACCGCCAGTCTCGGGACTATAGTGCCTTTTGGCATCGACAAGACAATTAAGTGAATACAATTTTCAACTTATAAAGGTACTGTGTACCTGGTACACATTATTTTATAGAGCTATTTATAGGCATTTCACATTTTTAGACTTTTTTGATTTGTATCAATAAAATTGATATGCTAAATAAAAAAAAATTTGAAAATGTACACAAGATAATAATCTTAACAATAATATATCATAGATATACATCAGTGAATTATCTACCCGAGCTTTTAGAACAATTTTTTAATCTATAATAGGCGTATATAATATAAAAGTCATACTTGGGTATTCATCGATATTTCTAAAAAATGACAAACAAATAATATGAATTTTAGATTTGAAATAAAAAATGTTTTTATATTTTTTTTGGTTACAGTATTAACTACTTTTATACAGGGCTTAAAGTGGGAAAACATTTCATGGGGCTTACCTACCGTTTCCATATAGTTTGCATTCCATGTATAGTTTTATATATACCTACCTAATGTCTATTGTCTAGTATGTATATGTAATGTATACACAGTGATTGTGTAATCACTAAGCATACTCATTTCACTTTTAACCCTGAAAAATATCAATCCTAATTTGTTGAAGGGGACTCTTTTAAACCACTGTCAGATGAGAGGACTGAGTCCCATTGTGTACCCCCCCCCCCACTTTAGAAACCTTCTATTCTAAGCTAATTATAAAAACTAAATATTTTATACATTTTCCTCAGCAATAGATATAATTTGAACATTTTCGAGATTTTGATCAATTTTGTCAAAATTGGAACTTGCCTATAAAAATGCTTTTAATGGGCTTCGCTACTGCCTTCAATTTTACCTAAAAAGACCTAAAGTATTGACCAAATTAAAGTTAGTTAACGTTGTCCGATTTTGATTCTGAAAAAAAATTTGAACTCACCAGAAAATTGTCTATAGAACCTATTAAGCACTTTGTAAAAACTACATTTTATATTATTGTGAATTGTAATTGAAAACTTAAAAATATCAACTTTTTCGAATCATCGTTAAAATTAAAATTAATGTTAAAAACGGAAAATGTTTCGTACGATTTCCAGAAATTTTTCTGCTGAATTCAAATATTTTTTCAGAATCAAAATCAGACAACGTTAACTCATTTTAATTTTGTCAAAACAGATGTTAAAATCTTTAAAATATAAACATCTTTAAAATATTCGTGTAGTGAAATTGATATGGTTATCGAATTATTGACATGTGCATGCGCGTACGAGTGAGGATACCCACGTGTAATATCACTCACACTAATAATCATTTACAACTAACACATATAGATCCGGGTCGGCAATCACAAGATAAGAAATTGCCTAAAGATTGCCCCTTAAATAATGACAGTAGCGAGGCTCCTTAAGAAATTTTTTTTACCCAACGAACATTATTTTATCGTTATTTATGAAATAAACTAAAATAAATTGAAAATTTCAAATAAATATGTAGCTCAAAACAAGTCAAAATATTTTGAAAATTGTATCATCTATAGAAAATGATAAAATAAACAATTTATGAAAATATAAAGTATTTATGGATATTATAGTTTTTGAGTTTCTGAAAATTAAAAATTTTTACCTCTAAAAATTACAGTCTAGATTCAATTCAAATTACTTTTTTTTGAATTTCAAAATATTAATTTTTTTGATAATGACAAAAAAACGGTACCTATTCTGGAAATTCAAAAAGGATCCTATAGAGTATAGACGCTAATGTATCCGCATTCCCGTATTTACACCACTGGTAAGAAAATTACCTGTATTTTTTACGATATTTTAATTTTTAAGCGAGTACTTAATAAACAATTTTACAATTTTATAGTATTTTATATACTCATACCTACTGTTTAAAAATTAACGTATCGTAATTCGTAAATAACCCAAGTGAATTCCAGATAATATTCTTACCTTGAAGTTTGATGATATAGGTGAATCACTCTATTATTGAAGGTTAGAATGTTAGATATTATAATCCATCCCACGAAAAAACGGACGGCCTACGCTGACCATAACCGGTCGCCACAGCATCCCCACCTCACAACAGATTATCGTCAGGTCATCTGAAGAGGGGAACACCTACGATATATTATTATGAAGTATGCACAGAAATGGCCTGTTCTCTCGTGGGTGGTGGGTGAAAACTCCTCAACTCGAATTTTCTACGTATTAAGTTTGTAAAACACAGACAAGTGACAACACACGTAGGTGTGGGCGTGTGGCATCCTCTTAATGGCATGTGAAGTAGGTAGTTTCTGTTTTTAATAAAATGTTGTAAATATATTTATTCAGTGCTCGAATTGGAAAAAATTATGGAGAGGAGCTCAAACGAACGATTTAAAAACTGCGTTCCAAGGGCGCAATTATTCAACACAGACCCGTCGGGGCTTTGCCCCCCCCCTCACATTCCCACCTTACACACATTTTGAATACCACTTTTCAGCAACACATTTTGAATTCCAAATAAGTATAATACATTTTGATAGAAGTATCTACATCGACTACATCTCACATTATTACAGAAGAAAGAAAATTATAATAATATACCTGTATAATATTTAAATATTTTTAATATTTGATATGAAAAATAGTAGAACTCCTTATATAGTTTACATCAATTGAAACCCACATTTTAATAAAATTATTTGAGTATTAGTTTGTACCGCCCCCCCCCCCGTCCAAGTAAAAAAATAGTAGGGGTACGCAAAAAAAAATAAAAATAGTAGGGGAGCTCCGTACCCCTGCGCACCCCTCCAATTCGAGCACTGTATTTATTTAATTCTTTGAGATATTTCCCGAATTCCTGAAACACCCTGCAATTACGAGTTGTTACTTACAAGTGTTATCTATCATATAGCGGTGGTAGGGGTGATCACTGATGAGAGTGTGGACTGTGCACATTGCACGTATAGAACATAGTCAGTGTATAGCTGGACAGCGCGTCGCGAGCGTTGTACAGCTATTGTGTTTTGCTAATTGAAATATATATAGTTGTGTAATGTTAGATTGCTTAGTTTATTTGATCCTATTCCAATCGATAGAATAATATAGTTAACACAAGTAGGTACCGTAAAGCATTACAATTTAAAAATGCTCATAACTAGCTTTAGATTTCAAATATCCTAAAAAACATCCTTGAGAATCACACGATAATATAGTGATATTTGATGATACCCGATTAATATGTAATTCAATCTATACCAAATGTAAATTTGTGACGTGCTCTTGGCAATAGAAATATTTTTTTGAATAAAATTAGAATATTTGATATAATAAGTAATGTTTATATAATAAAACACATTTAATCTATTATGTAGTATATTTTGTTTGGTAATATTTAATATAAACTATAAAAAAAAGTTCTAATATTAAGATAAATAAAGTTAATATCCATAAAATAAGTACACATTACTGTGTAAATACATTTTCTTTTATTATATTATATAATAGGGTTTAATTAAAATAAAAAGTCCTAGTTTAAAGATGTCAACATTTATAATAATATTATAGCTATACAAGCAATCACAGTGTAGATGCAGAATGATACAAAATAATTAGTTCTTGGATGAATACGGATCTAAAATAAGTACAATAACATGATCAACACATTAGAAGTTGTTTTACTAACAATATTCAATTTAAAGAATTATTTATTTGTAAAATCATTTTGCTGATGACACTGACTTGATTTCTCTATATTTAACACCCATACAATATTAGCAATATCATTCTTTCAATTTCGGTTTAATCATCTTATTTTATTTTCAATACAAATAATTTCCTCTCAGCTCTCATATTTAACAATTGCGTGTGTAATAAACACCAACTCATAAAAAAAGTACATAGGTACATACATTTATATTGTATATAAGTTAGCGAAATTTCATTGAATACATTTCAGTTTATTATAATAACTAATAATAAGTTTAAAATGGACATGTAAAACAAGATCATACTTTTCCATGTTATGCAAAAATCTATTTGATCATAAGCTTCAGCAGTTGAATTTATGTGTATTAATTAAATAAGAGGAAGGAAATATCTAAAGTATTTCTAAGTCACAGTGTCTTATTTCTGGGAATTTGGACCTTAGCTGCCATTCAATTCTATCAATCTCTCCACCTATCATATCGATTATATTTTCACTGTGTTTTAATAAGAATGCCTCAGCACAATCTGCATTTTCAATTGCACTCACTTCAGCCATCAATGCTTCAGGATCAAGCCTGTCCAGGTATTGTTTAGCCAATTCTCTTCCATCGAAATCTAACTCAGCCTTATATCTAATCAAACTGTTTCCCATATCAATGCCTTTGACATCGTGTATAGCCCGTATCATAACATCGGATTCCAATTCAGCATTGATTTTGTTTAAATATGTTAGACTAATGGAACGGCCAACTATAGCTGATGTGTTTGTGTAAATAATGAAGGAGGCAACTGTGCCTAAAATGCCACCAACTAGTAATGATCCAACAGCATCTGGTATAGGAGTATTTAAGTATGAAGTTAATGACATACATACAGCAGCAACTCCAATAGACAATACAGCAGCACAATCTTCTAATAACACAACATTGACAGTAGGATCATGACCTCGTAACACATATTGTAAGAAAGAAATCTTTGCTTCTTTGGAACATTTTTTTATGTTATTGATAGCAACTGCTAATGTTGCTCCTTCAGATATAAATGAGCCACCAAGTACAAAATATGCCCAAAATAGAGAATCTAATGGTTCAGCATGAATAAGTCCTGTTACACCGTGGTAAATTGAAAGTCCAGAGCCGATACAAAAGATTCCTACACCAGATATTAAAGAAGCAACATATTTCATATTTGAATACCCATACGGGTGATATGAATCTGCTATTTGGACAGATTTATAAATACCAAATGCAAGAATGACTTGATTAATTGTATCAGCCATTGAATGTATACATTCCGAGAACATGCTGTGACTTCCAGTATAGGACCAAGCCAAACCTTTGAAAATTGTATTCATACCGTTTATGAAAACAGCTGTCAAGACAACACGACCAGAGTCACCAAATAGTCCTGATGACTTTTGTGTTTTGAGATCATTTTTATTTAGGGTCTGACGACGGTTACTTCTTCTATGAGCTTTAATTGTAAACATTGTTTGTTGTTTTTTTTTTCTCTCAATTTCTCTCTTAATTAGTTGAGTCACTAAACCTTCCTGAGACCCCCAAACTTCGGATGCTTTGGCTACAACATCTTTTCGCCAATAAACATTTATTGGAGGCTCATCATCAAATGGAGATCGCCGTTTGATAGTTTTAAGGCCTTCTAGATCAGTTGATTTCAACATGAACTCAGTCATTGCTCGGCGAGCAGTAATATAATTTCGATCAACCGATTTTTCAGGTCTCTGGACTTTATCAACATTTTTTTCAAAGCTGACTTTATCCAACAACTGTTTAACTGGAACACTTTTCAATAATGGATCTTTTTCTTCTGGTTTTGTTTTTATATTATCATTACTATCATCATTAATGGAAGAAAAACATCGAATTGGCCATAATTGGTTTTTTGCAATAGAAATCTCATGAGGTTGGTATCGAGAAACATATCGCGATAACTTGCGAATTAGTATACCATCACTTTTCATTGATGATATGATGCATTTGCAAGGCACCCCAAGATTTTTGTAGAACAGCGTCATTTTATTTCTACAATAAAAAATAATAAAATAAAAATATATTCCTGACCAGAATAGTGTATTTTTAAATATTAATGTAATATATAAATATATTATTGTAAACATACAAGGTGGGACAGTTTGTTTCCATTTTCTTCTACTAAATAAAATGGGATAGCTAGAAAAATATTTAGAACTACCTTATATATACAACACATTGAAATTACATTCAACAAATTAAATATCAGCTAAGAATTTTAGGTAAAATTATGTTTTTACCTAACTTTATTGTTTTAAGTTGATTTAAAATTCTCTTCAATTATTTTAAGCTAATTTTCATACAAAGATGCAATTAAAATCAGGATCTATTTTTTAATTATTATTAGATATACCTTGAATAATCATGTTGACAATGTTAATTGTACAATTGTAAATAAATTTGGTACTTACTTGTTATCTTGACTACCCAAATATTTCCAAGACTACCTGTTAGAATCATCTGGTTTATCTCGACTACCTCTGTATAGGTTTCTATTTATAAATGTACTTTACCACATTGTAATCCGTATTTTGCCATCATACCATTAACAATTTATCTTAGTATTTATTTCGACATAAATAAGACCTAACCACAAGAGAGCACACCCAAAAAGTTGAAAGCCTTTGGGGATCGGCAAAGTGGCAAAACAAAAAACAGGGGAACAGCTTTCCATCATCTGGATTCCTATATAACTGTTTTTGTTTGGCAACAAAACCTTGCAAAAATCCATTTTATAGAATTCTTATGGATATTAAAAATTAGTAACTGAATTTATTTTTAATTTTTTGGTTTAAATTATTTAATTTTTGTTTGAAATTTTAAAATATTTTTTTTATCTGATTTTTTTACTATCTTAAATGTAATATCTGTATGTTAATTAAACGTCAAAAATATAATACAAATATAAACTTTCTAAGTTAATAAATTTCCGTAGTCGAGATAACCCGGTTGTGCACCTAAGGTAGTCAAGATAACCCGGAAGTACTGAAAATTTGAACAAGATTTCGGATTATACATATCTATACAGCTATTATATAGGTACAATGTATATTGAGTAAGTATATTATAAAAAAAATTATTTTTTATACCTAATTTACCTATTTTTGTAATAATATATAATTTTTGATAGATGTTGTTCCAGATTTCCAATGTAGATCAATATTGCTCCAAGGAGATAATCTACAAAAAAAGTATGTATTAAATTGTGTAATAATACTAATAAGTAATAGATGTAGTAAAATTGTTAATGTAGGTACAAAAAGAAAACAATTTAATGTTTTTTGTATTAGATTCAAATAATAAAATCAACTATTTGGAATATAAATATAATTAGCAGGTTAAATTGTTAACTAATGTGTGACTAGCATCAAGCCAAATATGATTAAAATAATGAATTTAGTAGTAAAAAATTGATTAGAAATAGGTAGGTACTTAGATAATATAAAATAACGCTTCAAAGAATAAATTAAATATATTATACATTTTGAATGACAATAATAATATGAAAGTTCAAATAAAATATTCCAAAATTTATCACATAATAATTATAATTTACAGTTGGTATTAATCATATAGGGATGACTATATCAATTTTTATAGGTACTTTAATAAAATTATAAAAGTTGTAGGTACAAGAGAAGTATAGTACTGAAGAGTGAGGTAAATATTTTTGTACATTTATCTAATTCAAATCCTGATATATTTCTAAATTAAAAAATAAATCAAATTAATGCTAGTTAGGTATAGCCATAATTTGTAATACACTAATTAAATATGTGATGTGTCTGTTGAAAATAAATGGGTACTATGTGAGTATGTGACTAATAAGATTAGAGAATTCTGAATTATATAGGTAATTAAACAGTTCTAAAGCCAATTTGGTTCTTTTAGATCGTCAAAAAGACTATCTGAGGTAGTTAATTGATACAATATTAGGTACAAGATGGTCACACAAATATGAAAAATAATATTATGTATTATTTATTATATATAATGATTTACTTACCAATACGTATGATAAGCTAAGTTATCATAGTCTCAAGATTCTCTCGTCTTATTTGTCTACTAAATATGCCAAATGTGTAGTTTTGTAGAAGAAATATCATCGACCTTCGCACCAGTAAACATTATGAGGGCCAACAATTGGTACTTGGCTGACCGCCGTATTATTATATTATAATAATTTCGAAACGAAACGATTAATACTAAACTGCAATTAGCGTACCTATTGAGCAAATGTCTTACATTTCACTTTTCAGTTTTCTCGCTCAATAGTAACTAGTAACTACTCTGAACTCTCAAATAGGTACTCAATTATTCATTGCTCTGCGATGATAAAAAATAAAAATATTATTGTTATCAAACGGTGATAAGAAACAAGAGTTCTATTATCTACACAGAACTATGGTTCGCCCATAAAGCGATTAGGATTTAGGACCCGGTAACCATAAAAATACTATCACAGTTATCTATTCACCATTGTTCCATACGCCTACGACATCGCATTGGATTATTTTGAATTTTAACGGTTTACGGCCACCGAATTCATAATTCAGATTAGAGCTGCTGGAGCCTATATCTATAATTTATTACGGTCTGCACTCTGCGCCCTGCTGTGTCAAGAACAAGTTCGGCAACTGAGTAGTAAACTATATAGTAAGTCGTAACAACCACAAGTTACAAGTTTACAACAACACTACCGAGCATGCACAACTGCAAGTGATAACTGCTAAGTGCATAACACATTACACAAGCCCGGCTGCCGACACCAGTTCGTCGATACTTGTAGTTCTGTACATCCGTTCGTTTCTCGTCGCGTCCGCCTTTCGGTTCCGATTTACTTTTATTCTTTACCAACGAGAGTATACCGGCATCGATAGATACTCGTTTCTGTCGTCATGATGCGCCGGCGGTTAAGTTTCATCGGTAGTGGAGAGTGTTACGAGCCAGGCCCACTCACCGAGTCCATCGTCGAGTCTGACCTTCAGCGACAGATACGCGACAGGTTCGATGAAGAGTGCCCATATTCGTTGACCAGGAAGTCTGTGCGGAACAGCCCCCGGGCGCGGAACTGCAACTCTCAAGTATGGCAGGTGGCTGTCAACACGGTGGCTAAGAAGCGCGACACACTCAGGCGCAGTGTCAGCTCGGTATTCAGGTCGATGAACAAACTCAGGACTGGATTCAAAGTGGCTGCGCAGGTATATTATGGGTAGTGTTAGAACTTAAAAATGATTATGTTTTTGTTATTGTTGTAAGTGACAGGGTTGGCTGTGTTAAACGTGGTTCATAAAAAAACAATTTTAATTTTTAAATGTAATTAAAATATCCATTAATATGGATTGCATATGCTTAAAATGGGTATATAAAATTAAAATGGATTATGTATAATGTTTATGAATACAAGGTGATTCAATCGTAGACATAAATAGGTAGGCAGTAAGTACCTAACCAAATTTAAGAACATTTCTGTTTTACCAGACACCCTGTTTTGCAATTTTTTTTTTAATATAATATGTAGTTAAGCATGCTGAATCGATGGTGAAGTTAGAATTTAGCAGTCGGATTTAGTTTTAAAGTTATAGCTAATTTAAATTTAGGTGCTGCTCGGATATGCGATCTATCGACATTTTTCTGCTCAGATTCTAGACACTCGGTTGCGTGTCAAGCCAAGTTTTAGTTAACAGAACGGGCAAGCAGCACCTTGTGTAATATTACACGAACCATTTGGAGCCACTTTTGACCCCCTCATAAATCATAAAATATTTCACATGAACATGTTAAATTTGGCTCATATATTCACACTTACGAGATACATATGTGCTCCAAATTTCATAAACACACCTCAAACCATTATTTAGATATTAACGTCCCAAAATCGTCATTTTTATCACCGACTCACTGACTGACTGACTTATAAATCAAAATTCTAACCCAGTTCCAGATGACCTAGAAAGTTCAAATGCGGCATACAGATAGGTAGTTAGGTTAATGCAAAGGAAAAAATCAGAAACTTGAAAATTTTAAATTTTAAATTTTTTAATCAATTGATTTTATTATAATTTTTCAATTATTTGATTTATTATATTAAATTTTCAATTAATTAATCAAGTGCCTCTAATTTAATGAAATGTAATATAATGTTGACTTAAATAGCTCCGCTAACCTTTCCTGTATCGCCGCTCCAAAAATACATCCAGTAGAAGATGTGTCGATATTGGCGACCCGCACGCAGCAACATACTTTTTTTCTATGTATGTAATTAATATTAATTAAAAAAAAATTACAATTAAAATAATTAAATAATTAATCTTACGATTATGAATTACCCACCCACCAGTAGAAATTATAGTAAATAAAATAATGATAATTAAAAATATACTCAAAAACTAAAAAGAGATAAAATAATTTTATATTATTTTATATTTTATACTCTGTATACAACAGAAAATATTTTATAATAAATATTATTAATGTCAGTAACTGAATTATAGTATATAGTGATAAACTTTATTTACAGAATACGTTATGGCTAGGTTAGGTTACGTTATAATAATTTACATACAAAAAGTAATGATAACCCACCAAAAACATATATGTAAAATGAGAGCCATGTTCAATACTATAATATATGCCTTGGTTGTTGACTTCAACGACAAAAGAAATGAGATCTAAATAGGTGCCAAGTTAGGATAATATATTGAAGCCTAAGGTCTGACTTGGCTACGAATTATAATATTATAGCATTCACAAGTTATAAAGCTTTGAGTTCTTATTTTATTCTTTGGAAAATAATCTTCACTCTTCCATTACTGTTTTAGTAGGTACTTAATAATTTGTATATGAAAACTAGCCAAGTCAGACCTTAGGCTTCAATATATTATCCTAACTTAGCACCCATTTAGATCTCACTTCTTTTGTAGTTGAAGTCAACAACCAAGGCATATATTATAGTATTGAACTTGGCTCTCATTTTACATATATGTTTTTGGTGGTATGTGGTCTACATAATATTTGTATATTAGCAAAAAAATTAATTAAGCATAATTAATCTGTATCTATTAGATTTATAACAGTGACCATAATTTTTGGTCGTTTTTGAACAATATTTGACCATACTTCACGACACATCAAACCAGTCGGTAACTGTACTGGCATCTACCTGTTAATGTGGCTGTTGTCCTAAAAAGTATGTCCGATACGAAAAAACCAATTCTAAGATTTCCTTCAGTTTCAGTTTAGGTACTATTAGACTTGTTGTACAAGTCCTCATAGTGAAAAAACCCCGGTAAAAAATTATTCCCCTGCAGTACACTGCACGAGGTCAAACAACTTTTTTTTGCACCGAAGAACAGGACAAAATTCACCCTCGCGATCGCGTTTTCTAGCATCTACCATTTTACTACCACACTTATGGCATGGTAATGTTTCTTCGGCAGTGTCTAATATACCATACTCCCTTAAAAACGCAGTGGCATATTCATAGGCCTAACCTACATATTTTATATTATAATAATATAAATATAATATATTATCTGATTTAATTAAATTTCAATTTTCCGTACTTAGTAGTGATGTTTTGTAAATAGTATTCTAATCATAGACCGTCATAATATGACTATATACTTCTGGTGTCTGCTGGTCAAGAGCATACACATCCCGGTCTCTATCGGTAGACCCAGTCTTGCAAAACTGTCTGAGTTAGTTAATACTTTTTGGTATCACGGTCCAAGCACCTTCACACCAGTTGTCACATTAGAATCACAGCTGTTTCGTCCCCGTCAAAAAAAAACCAGTCCATGGACGTTTCGTCCCGGCATATTTATCTAGGTTAGGACATTCGGTTCTCAGGTTATTAATTACTTCAAAGTTCATTATTTTAATACATTTATTTTTAATGAACAATTCTGTAATGTCTAATATACAGTCAGGGGCGGAGTGGGAACCAAATCCAGGCCGGGGAGTTTAAAATTATCCAGGCCACCCACCAAATTTCTCGCTATGCTGGAATTTGGTTTTTCTATTTACCCATTTCAAAACTACTTTTAGTATATAAAGTATTTCATTCACCATCTTGCTATTTCTTTTAAATTCTGTCTTCTAACACATTATATTAATATACCACTATGTACAGTATTCCTGAAAGTCTGAAAAATAAAATTAGTAGGTATGGTTTAATAGTTGAAATCAACGAAATATTAATAATTATATTATACATTGTGTTTTAATTGTTTAGGTATAGTAGATATAAGGTAATAAGTAATAGATAAATACATACATTGTAAACAATATATTATAATAAAAAAGATTTATACATACATAATAATAATTTAGAAAATAGATTAGATTTCTCACCAACTGCATTTATGATAATATTGTTATCTATTTCCATGAGAATTTTATTTTCAATGGCCATTAGCATAAAAGACTCAAGATAATCATTGGTCATTGAATTTCTCAGCCTGTTTTTTAAATACTTCAATGTTTAAAATGGGTGTTTTATTATAAAAATAACCGACCTATGTCAATATTATATTGCTTCGATTTTATTTGATGTCTATATTTATGTACCAAATATTTTGTAATTTTATATCCAAAGCTTTCTCATAAGAGTATACGATTGTTCGAGGCTATCACAATGTACTATTATTGCATTAATAATATTTGTAATACAATAATTTAATAGAAACAAATTTACGACGCATTTAGCATTAACAAATATTTTGTGAATTAAATTAAATTTAAAAAAAAAACCAACAAAATGGCCAGGCCACCGGGCCATAGTATGGTCCAGGCCATACCGGCCACTCCGCCCCTGTATACAGTGTTGTAAAGTATTTGAGTAAAAGTATTCAAATACTTTTTTCCATATTGAGTATTATTTTATTGAATACTTTTTTTTCTTTTAATTCTTAATTTGTTTCTACTTATAATTATTCTTGTTAAATAAAAATACCATGCCGTCGTGGTTTTACTTTAACATTATAACAATGTAATATTATATATTTATTTAACTACTTTATTTTAAGAGTATTTGATACAGAGAGTATTCAATACAGATGTGCAATGCGTCTGCAATGACTGCATTGGTACAAAAACAAAATTAAATAATAAATGTACCGAAAATAGTTAGTTTTAAGGAAAAGAAATTACAATCATAATAATATTATATTGTACGGGATTTCAATATAATGACGATAATTACAATTTATATTTTATACTATTTAAAAAACATAGTCAGTTACCTAAAAATAAATATATAATTTATCTTAATATTATAGTATTTAATTTTAATTTAGTAATTTTTACTACAATTTGTGTTGATTAATACAATATTGTGATGTATATAAATCTTGACTATTTGAAATTGTATTGTATGAATATTGATTATGTATTTGTATATTTTGTAGTATTGTCATTTAAAGATTAAATTGTTCATTAAAAATTAATGTATTTAGATTATCAAAGTATACCGGGGACCAAACGTCCTATGGCTAATAACTCTTAGGGACGAAAAGTCCTATTTCAATAATTTCCGGGGACGAATCGTCCGTGTACTGGTTTTTTTGACGGGGGCAAAACGTCCGTTTACCGTCACATTAATATTATTCGAGGACCTAAAATATTTTAGTAACTTTATTGGGTAGGTATTTGGATTTATAATATTTTATTGGATTGTTGGAACTATACTTATTTTATTCAATACTTATTAGTTATTACCAATATTTCATTATAATGAGTTTAAAATAAAGTGGTTGCTTACATTAATAAGGTTTTCTGTTTTTATTCAATATTATTTATTACTACCTAATTGATTGTGTACCAGATGGCTTGCAATAGTGTGCTTTCTGAGCTTATTATCATAGTACATGAACCATATTATTAATCTGGTTGATCAAACTAACACGCTTTATCATGTTTCAGAAATTACGACCATCGACAAGACGTCGTTTTAAATTGGATGAGTCGCCTCTGACTCCCAACACGCCCAGAACCCGGTCTAAGTGTTTGTTGGGCAGAACGCCCACCAAGATGTACAGTCCTTTTGCCATTGATACACCACCATCGTTGCGTAGGCGATTTGCTTACAGAAGAAATAAAAATATTGACACTGAAAGGTAATTTATCAAAGTGTATCCTTCATATTAGGTATTTTATTATGTTTTAAATTTATTTAGTGAGTTAGTAATTGTGTAAACAGATCTTTAACACAGCTACTTGAAAGATTTATTTGTTCAAGACTTCAAGTATCATTTATTAATCGTATGTTAGCATTAATAAAAGTATCATTTAATTATCAGTTTAAAATTTCTTTGTTATTTGTTAAAGGATTTTATTAATACGGGTTTCAAATTTCTTAAGTCTTAATATAGGCACAAAGTTCTTGTGTTTTACTACTTTTTAAACCCTTCATAACATAACAAAGACTTAATTAAATATTTATTTAGAGATTTGATAGTTTATTTGATTTGCTGCCTTGTTGAATATGTTGAAAACAATTTTTATTCCATATTTTTAATACTTTATTATTTAAATTGCACTAATTAAGATGGTTGATTTTTTACAGTAATAAGTCAGTGAATGGGAAAAGTGAATCTAACAGTTGTGAAATAACAAATAATGAAAATCAGCAACCAACAATCAATTTAAATAAAGATGAAAATTATGGAAGCTTAATATAAGTATTAATTTCTAAAAGAGTACTGCACAAAACGGTATTTTTTGCAGAAAACTAAATATTACAAGTATACTGATTGTATACTGGCTATGTTGTTTTTGCATAACACATTTAAAGTATTATTTTTTACTATCTACTTTAATTTTTAAATATTTAAATTAATGTTCCTTTCCAATATAATTAGAAATCATGGCAATTATATTTTTGTATTCATAAACATAATTTATTTGTTACAAATATTTACTATTATGGTTGTTTTCTTTTTTGGTAACTAATAAATATTTTGACAAATTATTTGTTGAATAGAAATTAATATTGTTGTGTCCATTTTTAATTATTAATAGACTCAAGATGTATGATTTAATTGCCATGTAATAATTCAATAACATAGGCATTAACTCAATGTTAACCATATTTTGATGTTATTTTATAACATCTAAATTACTAGCACAATTATCTAAATGTGAAGATAACCATAATTACTAGTGATTGGCACTATCTCATTATTTTACTTTTGAATACTACCACTGTATGGTTATAGTATATTGAGTATGTTGTATAATACAATTCATTTTTTTTAAGTAGATATCAAAATTTTTATGCATTATACTGCAACATTTTTATATTTCACATGTTTCAATATATTTCAAATGGTTTTAAATATTTGGTTAAATATATTTTTTTTTCACGTAACATTAATAATAAAGACTATATTGTATATTTATAATAAATTACGAAGAATATTAATAATTACCATCTATTATTCTATTCCAGGGGTCTCCAAACTTTTTTATTCAAGGGCCACAAAAAAATCAAATGCTCTTAGCGGGCCAAAAGTTTATTAACACATATAATTTTTAATTTTATGATAATATAGGTAAATAAATATGTTTACTTTATATTTTTGTATAAAATATTGTTTACTTTACAATATATTTAAATAAAAATAAATAGGTATAAATATAATATAATATAAATACATTTTTGAAATCATTTTTTTGTCATATTTACATATGCGGTCCACGGGCCGGTTAAAACTTGTTGGCGGGCCGTAGTTTGGAGACCCTTGTTCTATTCTATTCCTAACCGATATGTTTTAGAGTGAAAATTCAGTCAATCTGTAATTGTTTGAATGTACCATTCATGTCCAATTCATCTGCTTTTGTATGTTCTGGTCGTCTTGACAAGTCGGCTTTTGGTCGTGCTTCCAACCATTCTTTGTTAGCCATCAAAAGTTCTAACATATCCTCTACAAGGATAAAATCATTTTAAACAACAATACCAAAAAAATTCATATCTCATGTATATAAATTAATATTATTGTATGTTCTGTGTTCCTATAAATTGCTCGATAAAAGGTACCTACTGTTGTCACAAGAATATTACATGAACATACTATATTTGGTATACCTCACCTTCATATTTTTCAAGATTTCCGCCAGTGCCGCCGTATAAGTCTGGCAATACGTCTTTTGGAATGTACTGGTACAAATCTTCCAGTGAATCATGTACAAATATCTAAAGGACAAGTAGACAAATATATGAGATTTTAATTTGTACAATGTTTGTACTTTATTATGTGGCAGTTTAAACCTTATAATTGATAAACATTTTAGTAAAAATAATTTACTTATTTTCTATATAATGTAAGAATAGGCAATTGTATGTTTTTGTGATAAGTGTAAGTGATCAATGATAAGTCGGTTCAAAAAATCTAAGTACGTAAGTATAAATGTAAATACTTCATCTCTTGGTGAAGGATGGTTAAAGGTTATAATATCCTCGTGGATGGTCTTAGGCGGTTTTTTTGTCCTTTACTGAAATTTAAATAATATAGCATCATAGATTATAGTGATCCAAACTTACTCTATCTCTGATTTTGTTAGAGACAAATAGCTTGAAGAACGTGATGAGGCGACTCATGAACTTGGGCGGGTTTATGTAGTGGACAGTTTTTACTCGCAGCGGAAACGAATCCTGTAAATGGTAAATAATTCTGTTTATACATAGTATAAAGTATAAATATATTATATAGTTGGATTAGTATATACCCATATAGTTTATTAAATTACAGCCTACAGGAAAACAGGATGACTCTGACCAATAATTATTTGAACTTAAGACACTCTACAGTCTACAACAGGCAGTGCCAGTGACAAAGACCCACCCATGACCATACCTATATACATAACTATGATAGTAACCAGTAACTATACAGACGAGTATAGTGACTATATTGTACCTATTGTTATAGAAAGTGTATATTTTTTAAATGAATATTTATTTGTTTTTTAAGTGTATTTGTATGATTACATATTTGCAGTGCCGTATTTGAACGTTGTGCAGCCTGGGGAAACATATTTGGCCGCCCTCCATAAAAAGTTATTTCTTAAAGTGTAAAGTATATAGGTTAGTATAATAGTATAGCTACTATTTTCTGGCATAAATGTGGTTAGATTTTGAAAATATTTTTTTGAAAGCCTTTCTACTTCAATGAGTTAAGAACAATCAGTGATTTTGGATTCAATCAGAATTTGACAGTCGGACTTAGTTTCAAAGTTATACACTTTTGAAGTCCTCGAGTTTGCGAATTTTCACCCGTTGAGTTTTATTTTTATTAAATTACTTTAAGGGGATTCGATACCGTGATTTTCTGTTTTTGTCTAACACACGCCTGACATAGTATTTTAGACGTGTTTTTTGCTAAACATTCCAATTTGATCTATAGAAGCGATAAGATTTCTGAAAACAGATTTGAATTTGTCGTCAAGTCTACTTGAAATCGACTTTCCCACATTTATTATTTTTTTATTTTAACTTCTCCAAAAATTGAAATAACAGAATTTTTAAATACTCTTTTTGAATATGACATTTTAAAAAATTTGGGGGATAATATCAAAAATGTGGGAAAGTCGATTTCAAGTAGACTTGACGACAAATTCAAATCTGCTTTCAGAATTCTTATCGCTTCATTAGATCAATTGGTATGTTTGGCAAAAAACACATCTAAAATACTATGTCGCGCTTGTGTTAGACAAAAACAGAAAATCACGGTATCGTCGGTATCGAATCCCCTTATCAATAAAATATAATACACTAAGACGTATAATAAACCTATATAACGTATAAGTAATTACTAATTACTAATTTCCGATTCCACCAAAATGTTTAAGAAAGAAAAACTCGCATAATATGCTAAAAAAAAATAATCATAAATGTTATTTTTGGTATTTTAAACTTAATAACAAGATTTTGAAGTTTTTTAGATTCTGAGTGAAACGATGAATGTATTGATTTTACAATGATGTGTGTTTTTTTATTTTTTTTTTTTTTTTTTTAATTTTTTAATTTTTTTTTGTGTCTGTCATCACGTTTTAGGACAGTAAAAGTGCTTCGATTTTCTTCAATAGTACCTTTTCTGATAGGAAAGCTAATCTAGTTGGTACTTTGGGGGGTCAAAAGTATAAATTTCCCAGTAGTTTTCACAAGCGCCGGGAAAAACAACATAAAAATTAAGGAAAAACGGGAATTTTTACGCAAAATTGGTTTTCCAAAAAATCGATTTTGGTTTTTGGTGTAACTCTGAAACAAATTAACGTATATACATGAAATTTTCACTGGTTGTTTATATTTGCATTTTCTATACACGAAAACATTTCCAAAATATTTTGATTTATTTTGAACTGTTTAGTTACATTTTCATTTTCCATTTTTTTTTAGTTTTTTTTCTAAAAATATCAATAAAATTTTATTTGTTGGTTGCGAAAGCTTGAAAATTTAATAGAAGGCTCCTAATATATTGTTTCAAAGGCAGATGAAAAATATTAAAAATCCTTAGTCACAATTTTTTTTTATAAGCATTTAAAATTCAAAAATTGACAAAATATGGGAAAATCACGAAAATTAGCAAATTATTTAGAGTTAAGAATTCGTAAAAATTTTTCTTTTTAAATCTAAGATTTGAAAATTAAACACAAGATTCCTTATAAGTTTGTCTACCTTTATCAAAAGAAAAATGTCTATAAGAAAGTCAAATTAAATTTTTATGAGCGTTTGAAATTCAAATTTTTACAACATTGAATATTCACTCGATTTCCCATGTAGCGATTTCCTTATTTTGTTGTAATTCAAAAACAAATAACTGTAGATACATGAAAATTTCACTGAATGTTTATATTAGCATTTCCTATACACCATACAATTTTGAAAATATTTTGACTCTTTTTGAGCTGTTTATGGACCTTTACAGCTTTCAATTTTTTTAGTTTTTTTTTCTATAAATATCAATAAAGTTTTATCTGTTGGGCCAAAAAGTGTAAAAATTTAATACAAGGCTCCTGATATATTGTTACAATATCAGTTGAAAAATATTAAAAATACATAGGCACAGTTTTTTTTTATAAGCATTTAAAGATCAAATTTTGACAAAATTTATCAAAATCTCGAAAATTATCAATCATTGTAATTAATAAATTATAAAATGTTCAGTTTTTATAGCTAAGGATTGCAAATTCAACACAAAGGTTCTCGTAAATAGTTCAAACTGTAACCAAAAAATCTAAAAAATATATGAAAACAGTTATTTTTTACAGACATTTTAAATTCAAATTTGGACGAAATTACATATATAAAACCTAGAATAACTATTTTAGTTATTTTGTTGTGATTGAATAATATTATTCGTGGATACTTGAAACTTCTAAAGTGTACTATTATATATCTATGATAGTATCACGGTTTTTGTTGATGTATAACGCGTTATAAGTACCTAATGGATATTTTGATATGATTAATTTGGAATTTATTATAGGTACCCATTATAGGTCAATTTTTTGTTTAATACCATAGATATGTATATAATACCTATGTCTTATACATAGACTGACATACCGTCTCCACTCAGAATCGTTTTTCTTATACAATGATATTATATTGTTGAATTCAAATTTAATATCATCCATTATACAGTAACCCCCTTGTAACCTACTGTACAGCAGAGCGACA